TGATTCACTCACACGGAATACCCGATGAAAACATAATTGTCATGCATTACGACGACATCGCGTTCGACACATCCAACCCGACCCCCGGTATTATAATCAACAAATATGGCGGACCCGATGTCTATGAAGGGGTCCCTAAAGATTATACCGGAGAAGATGTCACACCACAGGTATTACTAGATTTTTAATTATTTATTTATTTTACAAACAATTGCAATGACTTTTCATTTGCAGAATTTTTTGGGTATACTTCGCGGAGACGAGGAATTAGTCAAAAAAGGCAAACGAGTGCTTAAAAGCAGTCCAAACGATCGCGTATTTGTTTATTTAGATGATCATGGAGCTCCAGGCTAGCAAATAATTAAATTATACTAGTTAAAAATTTTCTAATAAATGTTGTGCACATTTAGGGTACGTTGTGTTTCCAAAAAGTAATCTTATGGCTGAAGATCTGATCCAAACCCTGACAACAATGCATGATGAACATAAATTTAAACACCTAGTGTTTTATTTACACGCATGTCATTCAGGTAATTTTATGTTTATTATTAAAAATTTTATTTTTGGCTTTATTTATTGTAAATTTTATTTAATCGAATGATATGTGTTTTTAACCAGGCTCANATGAACATAAATTTAAACACCTAGTGTTTTATTTACACGCATGTCATTCAGGTAATTTTATGTTTATTATTAAAAATTTTATTTTTGGCTTTATTTATTGTAAATTTTATTTAATCGAATGATATGTGTTTTTAACCAGGCTCAATGTTTGAGAATCTATTGCCAAACAACATCAGCGTATACGCCATGACTGCCACCCGACCCGATGAGCTTGGTTGGTCCACGCCTTGCATGGAAGACGAACGTAGAACATGTTTATGTATGTTTTCAGTTTGTTTAATTTAGATATGTTTATTTTGTTTTAATTATGCTCAATAATATAAAGCAAATTTTATTAAACTAAACTTTGATTACTAACTTTAAGATGCATATTATATAATTAATTATAAAATGTATAATATTATGCAGCATTTAAATTTGCGGCCGATTGGTTTAGCGATACAGAGAATCATGACTTGACCAAGGAGTCTATTGGCGCCCAGTATGATTACATAGCGCACAGGGTAAATATATATTTTTAATACAATATTATCATTCCACTGTACTTTTTGCAATTTATTTAATAATTGTGTTAAAAATTATTTATTAATATGTAGTATACTAATCAGCATGCACAACAATATGGTGATCTGTCAATAGCTGGCGAACACTTATCTAATTATTTTGGTTAGTAATAAAATTAGGAATTTAATAATAAACTAATATTGCCATTTATATTATTTAAATACTCTAGGTGATAAACAGGTTCCTATTAGTGCTGGTTATAAAAAGTCTAACCAATCGGTAAACTCAGTGCCGATACCGGATATACCATTATATTTGGCACAGCGTATGATTGAAAACACTGATGAATTGGAATTAAAACAAAGGTTTATTATTTATAAAATATAATTAATATTTAATAGTAATTAAAGGTTTTTTAATTGTAAACAAATAGATATGTGAATGAATTGGAAGTATTATTAAGGAATCGGGAATTAATGGATAAACAGATCGAGGAATACGTGAATTCATTGCCGGGAATTGAGGCCAATGTTGTGCTCAACAGTAAACTACAGATTAATAATAAAGAGTGTTATCACAAACTTGTGGACACTTTTCATAGCAAATGCTATACTTTAGGACAAGTATTTAAACATAAATTTATTGATTATTATAAAATTAATTAATATGATAAATTATTTATTAATTTCCAGAATACGTATGCAATCAGTAAAATGCAAATATTTGTAAATATATGCGAAGAAATGCGTGAATCGAGTGATGCGGACATCAATGCTGTCAATCAATTGCTGATACAATACTGCGATACTATTGTCAAACCAAATGAATTCATTGTATAATTATTATAATTTTTAATAAATATAATTCACCAATATTAAACTAACAATTATGATTTTGCGATCACACACGCTTTAATAGTAATTTAAATTACATATTTTATTTTAACTTATTTAACAAACTATTTAATTGAAATCATACATGTTTACAAATGTATTTAATTATCGGGTAATTTGATTAATTGTCCAGGTATCCCAATTTCTTTAAACGATCAATTTCGACCTTCAGGTTCTTCTGGACACCCTCGGTTATAACTACTAGCCTGGCCAATATGACTTTACCTTCGATGGTTTCTGGGTCGCAATTGGCCAACTGTTGTTCAATTAAGCTGACTTCGTTATTTAGCATAATCAGTGTTTTGCGTGCATCATAGTGTCCCTTCTCCTTTAATTCAGCAACTGCTTTTGTAACCTGTTGAATGATTGTTGCTAGGTCCATTTCTAATTTAACAACTTGTGGTGAATGAGTGGTGGATAATTCATCATGTGCGCTGCACACTATAGATGTGTTTTTAAATAAACAATTATTATTAATTAATAGATTTAATTTAGAGAGAGAGAGAGAGAGAGAGAGACTTACGAATGACTGCCGTCAATGAAACCAACAATAAGGCCAAAACTTTCATTGTTAATAAATAATAATTGTTAATCGATTATTATTAAACAAAGTTGTTTTTGTTATAAAGTTATATTAAATTCCTACTAAACAATCCAAATATTTATATAAAAATTTTATTATGTTTCAAGACTTTGAGGACTTTCATATCTTTAGTATTAGTTTGATTATTTCATTTAGTGCTTAATTTCATAATAAGATTACAATATTAACTTACAAAATAAAGTCTGTAAAATATATCTCATTGTTAATCCAAAATCACTGGAATTATGTGATTTTCACAATAGATGATTGCATAATATTGTTGAAATACACGGCCTTAATGTACCATAAATATTGATATAAATGATAAAGTATGAGAACCACTATATCGTGCAGTAAAGATATAATTATGGAATTAGTCTTATTAATTTATTAACAGGTTCACATGAATATGATAGATAAATGGAGTTAGTAGAAAATGGTTTTATTATTTTGTAACCAATATTTTTAAACATAATTTCTGATGCCTAAGAATGTTAACCTAAATAATAATACAATTTTTATATGGCATTATAACAAAATCTCTCAAACAAATTTCAGATATTTTGTTTTGATACATTAATTTTAACTGAACTTGAACTATAATAGGCTGCTTCATTTTCATTTGAGCTAATACAAAACAATATGTAGTTACTACATTGTAGTATGTATCATATCATTTAATGGTAATCAATATTATGATTAACAGATGATCATGTTAGTTGCATGATTGATTATGTGAGTATATAATGCACTTGTCCATTGTCTGGGTTATTAATCAAGAAATTAATAGATTTATGATATCGGATAAATTTTAGGAAATATCTGTTGCATAATAACGATTTAATTAATATTAGAATTAGAAGATTAAGTAATTTTTGTGTATAATATGCACTTAATTTATTGACAAAACATGATTTAAAAAATTATAAAGTAATTCAACATGTAAATACAACTAGTCCTTTACTGAAATTATTATTGTAAATCAAATAAATAATTAAATTATTAATTTACTATTTTTGGCCATTTATGCATTGAAATTAAACTTGGTCCTTTAATATTGAAATATTTATTCAATTAAATAAAATATAAAGTTTTGAAAAAATATAACTCACTAATTTGTTATGTGTTATATCAGGGCCCCAAAAAAGTCATGATTATTTCTTATACAAAATGTTAATTAATTTTATTCTTAAGATAATTAACTTTAATCAATGATATATTTTCCATCATTATCGACAACTATCTACTATTGTGTCACCAATTTTTCAATTTCCTAATTGAAGATTAAACTTGATTTTAAGACCACAATCTGAAGACACCCCCGATTTGATGACATCTGCCATTTT